TCATACCATCTACAATCTTTGTATTCATGCATGCATACTAATCCATTCAGCATCTTCTTCATTCCTACTGTCGGCACAACGGACCATTCACGTTCCAAGAGTGTGGGATTTTGAGCGTTCTCTTTCGGAAGAAGACCTCAGTGTACATGAAAGGCCCGCATTCGATGTGGGAGAACTCGTGTTTTTGGTAACACAAAAAGCGCGCGCAGTAGGATTGCTGCTGGAGCGTAATCCCATTGCAGATCCAAGAGTGGCGTTTGCAAGGAGCAGGCGTGCAATTTTCAGTAAAAGCGTAAGTAAGCACTTTTACACAAGGTCATGAAATTAATCAATGTATTTAGAAAGTATTTCCAAATCCTACCATGTTCCTGGTAGAGGTCGCGTCTCCTTTGGCACAGTTGCTACACATAGCGACGGAAGCAGCTTTCAAACATATGGAGTCGGTTGTTCTCATCTTGTATCGAGAGAGGAACGATCCACAACCGATGGTTATCCTGCTGGGTGCACGCCATCTTGAGGATAGCGGTCATCGTTACGACTGCTGCGTAGCTGTCGTAGGCGAACAAATCTACGCAGTGGTAAGTTATACCGCATGCATAGTTAGAAAAGACTCTGTATGGTTATGCTTGTAGGAACGCCAGGCGGAAGCCAGAGCGGAGGAAATGCCGTTGCACTTGGAGCTATTAGAAGCTGGACCACTTGCTCGTCACTTCCCATCGCCAACAGTAGAGCCGTGGATTACGATACGTCGTAAGCCTAATCTGACGCATGAACAAATTGTGCAGCTCTTGCAAGGTGAATAGTCTCATAAGTATGTGTGCCTTGCAATCTGCACATTAGTCCTTTTTTGTATCATATAGCAGTTTTCTGGTTTGTATCATATAGCTGTCTTTAGTGCATACGTGTAGCAAACTCAGTCTCACTTTCATATTTACCTCTTGTGATCTCATGTCAAGCTGCCGGTGACAATAAATTCCTTTATATTCAGTATGCGATAAAACAACAACTAATAAATTTTTTTAGCACTTTTCATCTCAGCCGTATGTCCTAAAGCTTGCACTTCATCCAAAAGTGGAGCAAATTGGAAGCATGAACACTGTTTGATTGCACCTAAACCTCAAAAAATTTTTATTAGAATTTCGGAAAGCAGAAACACTTCCAGGGCTTGGCTTACTGGAACATTGTTCTAATAGTAGTGTCATACAACGAATATCTCCACCCCCGCTTGCCATAATTCCAAAAAACTTCTTTGCAGCACCCATCAAGACGGAAAAATTGAAAAACTCAAGATACACTTTTTTCTATACTATAAGTTTGTTGAGTATGAATAAGACTGCAAAATTCCACTTCTGCAGCATCACACCGAGATCACTTTTGAATTTGGGAATAAAATCCAAAAATATCTCGATTACTGAGAAATACTTAACACTAACTTTAAAAATTTCGAGAACCTCGCTCAAGACTCTAACACATT